AACCTGTCCACTATGGATGGCACAGTTGGTATTTAAAATACCTGTGGCCTATCTTCCAAAATCATAGCCATACACACCCACCCCAATAGAACAAAGTGACAGATGGGTGGAGGATAATAGATCAGGAGCCATGTAATTATGGGACAGTTACTAGACTTCCGTAGTCCCATTTATGTTCTCTGAGGTTCATTCCTTTTATAGTTGGGTTTTGAATGTATGAGCTTACCAACATATGTTTATGATTATTATGTTCTATCTGGATTAATCTTTATTGATGATGTTGTTGTTAAGTGTCATCAAGTCGGTTCTGACTCATAGTAACCCTGTATAGGGTTTCCAAGAAGCAGCTGGTAGATTTGAACTGCCAACCTTGTGGTTCACAGTTCAATGCTGATCCTCCAGTGCCACAACAGGAGTCCTTTATTCATGAGGATGTTACTGTTAAGTGTTGCTGAGTTGGTTCCAACTCATAGCGACCCAGTATAGGATTTCCAAGGAGCAGCTGGTGGAGTTGAACTGCTGACCTTGAAGTTCAAACCAACCTTGCTGTCTGGTGCTTATCCTACAGTACCACACCAGGACTCTTATTCATGATAGTAGAGAGAAAAGAGCTGAAGTACCAGAATTAACCAAAACAAAGCACCAAACATGATGCCATCAAGACAATGTCAGTTCTTAGTGACCCGTTGTTGTTGCTGTTGTTGTTGAGAAGTTCCGTCAAGTTGGTTCTGAACAGCTGGTGGGTTTGAAATGCCAACCTTGTGGTTCACAGTCCAGTGTGGATCGTACCAGAAAGAGTACATCTGCTCCAGAGGATTTCCAAGGCTTTAACCTTTACACAGCAGACTACCATATCGTTCTCTGTTGGAGTAGCTGTGGGTTTGAACTGTCAATCTTTAGGTTTGCCACCAAGTACTTAACCACTGCTAAGGGATCCCAAGTGTTCAAACTGTTGTTGTTTTTAAGTGCCAGGGAGTTGGTTCCGACTCACGGTGATCCTCTGTAGGATTTCTGAGGCTTGTTTTTTTTTTTTCATTTAAATGTTTTGTGGGAGCAGAAAACCTCATGTTTCTCCCACAGAGCAGCTGGTGAGCTGGAACTGCTGACCTTGTGGTTTGAAGTCCAGTGCTTATCCTATGGCATCATGTGGCTTTAAATCACAACGCTGCCACTTACCTTAACTTCTGTGAGTTTCTTCTGTTAGTGTCTCCAGTTATTCAATGGGGAGAATTGTGCCTCCAACAAGGGTTGTGATGAGAATCCGTGTGCCAATGCTTGAGCAGTATCTGCAAAATAGAAATCATTTGATACCTGTGAGCACATATACAAACACAAAGTCACATGTATATTCACATAAGCACCCAATACTAGTACATTTTGTTGTTGTTAAGTGACATTGAGTCGGTTCCGACCCATAGCGACCCTGTACAGGATTTCCGAGGCTCTAAATCTTTACAGGAGCAGAAATCATATGCATGCACAAAATCCCTCAAATACAGATTCTGGAAATACTGACAAGCCAGCAAGCCAGGTTACACAAGGTACCATCCTCTGAGAAAGTTGACCAGCATAAACAATTTCCTTCCTTTGTGTTTGAGAAGTTCCAATTTCCAAATGAAGCAGGAACATCAGAATAACATCAGCTGCATTAAAACTTATTTTTACAATGTCGGTGGAACTAACAATGTAAGTTAGGGACATGACACCCAGAAGCCTCCTCTTCCCCCAAAAGCAGCACTGCTGGAAAGAGACCAGGCTGAAATGCATTGATGAAACATGGAGCCGCAGACTTCAAGTCATCTAGCTCTTGTTTGTGATAAAGATGTATTTTGTTGATGCACTTGGTTTATCCTTGCTTAGGATAAAGATGCATTTTGTTGATG